CACCCACACCCACACTTGGAACACATTCCTGGACAAATATGGGCAGGTTTTAGTAACCGTATCTATAGTGAAAATCTGGTATTTTGAGATTTCCTCACCAATGATTGCGATTATGCTTCATCCAAGGTTACCATTAGATAGAGCTCGTCGAGTTGTACTTCGAACCCGGCTGGAACGGTTGGAACGCTCTCCTGGACGACTATGGGCGGGTTTTAGTAAGTAGGTTTGGGTTTTCCTATTGAAAAAGTACAGTATTTTAAATTTTTCTCACGATTGGTTTGGGCAATGGAAAATCCAAAGTTACCATTAGATAGAGCTCGTTGAGTTCTACTTGGAACGTTGCTGGAACGGTTGGAACGCTCTCCTGGACGAATATGGGCAGGTTTCAGTAACCATATGTATAGTGAAAATGTGGTATTTTCAGATTTTCTCAGTAATAGTTTGGATTACGATTGATCCAAGGATACCATTAGATAGAGCTCATCGAGTTGTACTTGGAACGCTGCTGGAATGGTTGGAACGCTCTCCTGGACGAATATGGGCAGGTTTTAGTAACCATATGTATAGTGAAAATGTGGTATTTTCAGATTTTCTCACTATTGGTTTGGATTAAGATTGATCCAAGGATACCATTAGATAGAGCTCGTCGAGTTGTACTTGGAACGCTGCTGGAACGGTTGGAACGCTCTCCTGGACGAATATGGGCAGGTTTCAGTAACCATATGTATAGTGAAAATGTGGTATTTTCAGATTTTCTCAGTAATGGTTTGGATTACGATTGATCCAAGGATAGCATTAGATAGAGCTCGTCGAGTTGCACTTGGAACGCTGCTGGAACGGTTGGAACGCTCTCCTGGACGAATATTGGCGGGTTTTAGTAACCATATGCATAGTGAAAATGTGGTATTTTAAGATTTTCTCACTATTGGTTTGGATTAAGATTGATCCAAGGATACCATTAGATAGAGCTCGTCGAGTTGTACTTGGAACGCTGCTGGAACGGTTGGAACGCTCTCCTGGACGAATATTGGCGGGTTTTAGTAACCATATGTATAGTAAAAATGTGGTATTTTAAGATTTTCTCACTATTGGTTTGGATTAAGATTGATCCAAGGATACCATTAGATAGAGCTCGTCGAGTTGTACTTGGAACGCTGCTGGAACGGTTGGAACGCTCTCCTGGACGAATAT